AATTGACGTGTGATAACCCCACAGTGCGAAATGGAGTTTGTCAGGCCAATCCTTGTAATTTTCTGTCATTTTCTCGATGATAGTCTTTAGATTTTTATTAGCCGCTTCAGCTGCTTCATTTGCTTGAGGTCTATAAGGAGAAGAATGATGGTGTTGAATGCCATATTTTTGTAACAATTCTTCACACTTACCTTGAAAGTGAGTTCCATTGTCACTTATCATTTCATGTGGCACTCCATATCGACAAATAATATTCCTTTCGATAAAGAGTGCTACATATTTTGCAGTGAGTTTAGCATATGATTGTGCTTCAACCCACTTTGTGAAGTAATCAATTGCTACTAGGATGTATTCATGACCCCCTGTTCTTGGAGGAGTAATTTTGCCAATAATGTTAATTCCCCATGTAGAGAATGGTCATGGTGAAGTGTAGGTGTAAAGTAGAGATGGAGGAACATGTTGTAAGTTGGCATAAATTTGGCACTTAGGGCATCTTTTTACATATTGATGACAATCCCTATTCATGGTAGTCCAATAGTATCCTTCTCGCATTACTTTTTAGACTAGAATTTTGCCATTAACGTGAGTTCCACAAATGCCTTCGTGGACTATTCTCATAGCTCTTTGAGCATCCTTTTTTCCTTTACATAACAGAGCTCGACCCTTAGGTACCCTTTTATGTTACTCGTTGTCTATAAGTACATATTGGGAAGCCAAAAGTCTTAATGCTCATTTTGCTCTTTTGTCAGCATGAGGAGGGTATTCTCCTTTGGTGACATAATTAAGTATATCCGTATACCACGGTTCTTCTTCTTCTTCATCATCTAGGATCACTTCATCATCTTTTATAGCTTGAATATAATCCGGTTAACGCCTTTTCTCTATAGTTAGAGGCATTTGCTCGATTTCCGTAGGAATCCTAACTATTGAGGCTAGTCTTGCCAAGGCATCAACAAATTGATTTTCTTCTCTAGATTGATATGTGTATTCTACCTTTTCTAACTAATTGGTGAGAATTTCTAGATAAGTTTGTTAAGGGGCTAGACTTTTTCTCCTTACTTTCCATCTCTTATAAATCTGGTTGATGATCAACGAAGAGTCCCCAAATATTCATAATTTTTTCACTCCCAATGCTAAAGCTGTTTCAAGGCCTACCACGCATGCTTCGTATTCAGCAGCGTTGTTGGTAACGTCGAAATCTAGCTTTATGGAGATTGAAACATGCTATTCTTTAGGTGATACTAGTAATACTCCAACACCACATCCCTTTTGGTTTGAGGCTCCATCGAAGTATAAGCTCCAAGTATCATCCTCTGTGACCATCAAATCTTTGTCTCGAAATTCATTGTCGTGTATTGGCGTTGGATCTTCTATTGGAAATTCCGCTGGAAAATCAGAGACCACAGATCCTTTGATAGCTTTTTGAGTCATGAATCTTACATCGAATTGTGCTAAGTTGATTATCCTTCTTGATATGCGCCCATTGAGTGTAGATTTCTCGAATAAATACTTGAGTGGATCTATTCGGGAAACTACAAAGATCGTATGCACAAGCATGTAATGTCTTAATTTAGTTGTGGCCCACACTAATGCGAGGCACAATTTCTCAAGTAATATATAGCGTACTTCATACTTGAGCATCTTTTTACTTAGATAGTAGATTGCATTTTCTTTATCTTCTACTTCTTGTGCAAGCATGGCTCCCATTGTTTCTTTGGTGATTGTTAGGTACAACCTAAGAGGTATTCCTGGAAGTGCTGGTGCTAATACGGGAGGATTTGCGAGATAGGCTTTGATCTTTTCAAAGGCTTTTTGACACTCATCTTCCCATATTACTGGTACATTCTTTTTAAGCTTTTGAATATTGGTTCACATATAGTTGTCAATTTTTATATGAACCTACTTATGTATTGCAATCGGCCAATAAATCCTCAAATTTGCTTCTCGGTTTTTGGCAGTGGCATTGACATGATTTCCTTGATCTTGGTTGGGTCTATCTCTATTCCTCTAGAGCTTATGACATAACCCAAAAGTTTTCCTGAGGTGACTCCAAAAGCACACTTGGATGGATTCAACCTCATGTTGTATTTCCATAGCCTTTTAAATAATTTTCTCAAGGGTACTTGATTTCCTGGGCGATCTTTTGACTTCACAATCATATCGTCCACACATACTTCAACTGCTTTGTGCATCATGTCTTGGAGCAAGGCAGTCGCTGCTTTTTGGTAAGTAGCACCCACGTTTTTCAACCCGAATGGCATTACCGTGTAGCAGTAAATACCCCATGGTGTTATGAAGGTTGTTTTCTCCATGTCTTCTTCTGACATGAGAATTTTATTTTATCCCGCGTATCTATCCATGAATGAGAGAAGTGCATGATTTGCTGTATTATCTTCTAAAATATCGATGTGTGGTAAAGGGAAGTCGTCCTTCGGACTTGCCTTATTTAGATCTCGATAGTCGACACACATTCTTACCCTTCCATCCTTTTTCGGAACTAGGACGACATTGGCCATCCATTCGGGGTATTTGGATACCCTAATAAAACCTGCAGTTATTTATTTTTGAACTTCTTCCTTTATTTTAAGAGCTACGTCGGGTTTCATTCGACGCAACTTTTATTTTACAAGTATCATTCCTGGAATTAGCAGTATAGTGTGTTGAGCTATTTCTCTATTAATACCTGGCATATCTTCATATGACCAAGCGAATACATCGATAAATTCTTTAAGTAGATTGATTAAATCGGTTATTTCTTGTTCGTTAAGTGTTAATCCGATTTTAACTTCTCTTTTAATGGTTGCATCATTTGAAATATCAACCGTCTAGGTTTCCTCAATTATCGGTGTTTTCTTTTCAAGTGTTTCCATTGCTTTAATAATTTCTTTGTCATTTTCATTGTTATTTAAGCAATGCTCATCATCTTGGGTTAAAGAAAAGCACGAGGAGTAAGCGGAAGAAGACATATTATTGAACTCAGAAATCATTACATCAAAAAGAGAGATGTCCTCAGGGACTTGATTGCTAACTATCCTAGGGAAAGAGATAGAAGAAGGGGGTGCTACAACTAAGGATTTAGATGACTCACAGGAAAAGACTCTAACTCTGACGACTCTTCGAACATCGGTCCTTGCATTGTCGTTATGGAGATTCTCCTTCCACTTGGAGTAGTCACCTTGACTGTCTTGCGCTACCCTTATAGTGATCCTTCTGATGGAGTGATGATCCTTGAGGGGTCAAATCTTTCGCTTTTTAGGACCGTTTGGATGAGCGAGGAGTTGTCCTCTATGTACTTCCGCTCATATTTTTCTCACCCAAATAGTAATTCCATGACATTAAAGTCAAATCATGGGGGTGCTTTTTCCTTGTGGATAGGAGTTGGGATTTCATCTAGAAAATAGCAATCTAGGAAAATTTCGAATCCTGGTTGCCTTATGCCATTTACAACAAAAGGTTCGGGAAATTCGTAGCATGGATAGTCCTATCCTTCTTTTATGAATTGTCCATTGAGAGTAAGAGGATACTGATCCATTGGGACTGCTTTCTTTTGGATGCGAGTGTTCCTACATGCCTTAGTCTTTTCCTAGGCTCGCTTGAGATCTTCCCGAGTCAGTTCAAAATCATGTAAGAAAGTGTCTAACTTAGGGAGACCAGGTAATTCCAGCGATTTTGCTATTCCTTTCTTCTTTCCTAGAGTCATTATAGGAAAATGCCCTTGTTTCTTTAGAATAGCGTTTACTGTTATATTAGAGAGGGGGTCATGGAAGAGAGGGGTCCTTTCATCCTCCTCGATTAAGGAGACCTCTTCATTAAAGACCCACAAATCTTCATCGTATTCATCGTGCTCCACAATAATGATTGGATTTTCTTTAGCTTTAATTCTCATGGGTGAAGCATCGATCGTGATAGGAATTCCTCCAACTATGGCCTTTGCCTGTTGGTGGAGAGATGAAGGGACGACCTTTAGGTCAAGAAGCCAAGGGCGTCCCAACAGTAAGTTGAATAAAGCTTTGATATCTACCACTTGAAATGTAGTAGCGTGTTCTATCGCTCCCACCATTATATTCATGGTAATCTTGCCAAGATCTTAACGACGAGTGTTGTCATAAGCTCTTGATCCTTGTGTTGACGGGGTCAAGTCTTCATCCCTTATGCCTAGCATCCTCGCAGTTTTGAGTGGACAGACATTAATTGCCGATCCATTGTCTACAAGAGTCATAGGAACGTTCATCCTATTGCAAACTATTGTGAGGTTTAGTGCCTTATAATGCTTGTCACCTTCTGGAGGTAAATCCTTGTTAGAAAAGGTGATCAAGTTGATAGGACTAGGGTGATCACTCGTAAGGAAGTTAGCTAACCCCTCAGGAGTGGTGTCAGAATCTATCCCTATCTTATCCATGGCATTCATCATTGCCAACCTATGTTCTCGAGATGTTCACTAGTGGAAAAAAGGTCATCCGTAACGGGCAAAAAGGGCCCATCCGTAATGGGCAGCGTCCGTTACGTATGCGGTCGTTACGGATGTGCATTGTTATTCGTAACGAGCACCATCCGTTACAAATAATAACTTATTCGTAACGGGCACCATTCGTTACAAATAATAACTTATTCGTAACGGGCACTGCAAGTGCCGTTACGAATAATGGGTTATTCGTAACGGGCTTTCAGGTGCCCGTTACGAATAATCTCGTTATTCGTAATGGGCATCCAAAATCCCGTTACATATAGTCCCGTTATTTGTAACGGGCATCCAAAAGCCCTTTACAAATAATCCCGTTATTCGTAACAGGCATATGTTTTGCCCGTTACGAATACCTTGTTATTTGTAACAGGCTTGTGTCTGCCTGTTACTAATAATGTCTGCCCAATTTAAAACAAAATAAAAAAAAAATCTTGCACATTCATGCTGGATTTCTTATAGCTTTGCTTGCACAATCATTTTATGAATTAACTAATGAGAGAAATTATGTTTAATGCATGGTACAGTAGAAAATCTCATATACAATCATCAAAGTTCAATTATCACCTAATAATTAAAATAAAAAATATTTTACAGTAGAAAACAAAGCTAATAATTATCACCTAATAATTAAAATAATCAACTAGCTCAACACTACAACACTACTTCGATTATTTTACAATAGAAAACTAAGTTGCGGGGAGGAGCACGAGATATGGTGGGGCAGCAGGGATGGCAGTCGAGTGGCAAACTCTAGATGAACCCAAAACATTCCTCAAATAAACCCTAAAAAGAAACAGATCCATAAATCAAAAGCAACCCAAATTGTATTAATTTGAATCAAGTAATTCAATGAAATAAACGGATGTTTAACAATCTCTATACCTTCTAACAGCAGAGCAACCCCAAGAAGCTTGTAACGAAGAGACCCACACTGAGCAATAGCGCAAAGACCGCACTATTGTTGTTAACCTTCTGGAAAATTAAGCCTCTTCTGCATAATCAAGCGCAGCTCCCAAACCCTTCTTACCTTCTCACCTAATCACAACTCCAAACCATAAAAAATCATAATCAAAATCGCAAAAATACCCAAAAAAAAAAAGCTTATATAGAGCGCACTTTATCAGGAACCCCAATCTTGACTAAAGAATAACAACTTGTGAAAGAAATTTTATGTGTTTATTTTATAGTAATCAAACCCAGTAACCAAACAATTACATATAATACCTCATACAGCAGTTTAAAGTCGATAAGATTCACAATAATCAAATACATTTCACGAGTAAGGATGAGTGATTACATTCAATCCTGATGTAGTATGATTGAAATAGTTTGTCAGATGTGCTTCATTTTACAGCAACATAAAGTCAGTGATATGATATTTTCTAACTTTGAGATGATGATAAAAGAAAGAAAAAGTAGCATCCCATAATTTAGCCAATGACCTTCTGAATTCTATATCAGAAAACCAGCAAGTATCTAATTAACCTTAGTATGTATGTATATATATATATATATATATATATATATATATACATACATATATATATATATATATACATACATATATATCTATATATATATATATATATATATGTCTTATTCATCCCACAAACTCGAAAACTCAATCCTCAAACAAAAATAGCCTTTAGAATTCAATATAATACTTCTATACAGCAGTTTAAAGTTAGTAACATCAGTGTTCATAGACATTTAAGCATTCAATTGCAAGCACTCAGAACTTGAATTTTAACAAACTAACCTCTAGATATCGTTTCTGTAGGAAATATTTCAAGCATTATCTCTAGCTTGAACCCCAATGTGATCATACATTAAAGTACGGTGGCATTCAAAGGGAAAGAAGATAGAGCAAAAGAGTCGTCAACAAGTTTTAGGAACTTGTAAACCGTTCACTGGGTGAATGTTACACCCCTTAACGATCCAGGAGATCGTTAACTCCAATAGGTGTGGAACCATGACTGGTAGTTCGGGGATGAAGGTACAAATCCAACCTAAAAGAGATTGAACCTGCCCTAATAATAGGCCTCTACTTTATTCTGATCGTATTCATGTGCGCTTTTTGACTAACATGCAATCAATAGGTTTACCCTAAACCTGTTTATCTATGCTGGTTGAATATTAATGCACAAATAAAACTATTATTGGTGATCATTTGAATTATAATCAAATTAACCCTAAATAAGATTATTAATTATCTTATTAAGCGTGATTACAAGTACCAATTCCCTTTTAAACATGCATAAAAGGCGTGATCAAACAATAACAATAAATAATAAGCAACATAATAAATCATCATAATAATAATCATAATAATAATAATTATTATAATAATAAATATAAAAATTATAATCATAAATCATAAGAATAATCATAATAATGTTAAAGCATAATAATAGAAAGATCCTAGGCATGATACTAATAAGATTAATAACAAACCCTAGCATGTCACTAAACAATAAAAATCAAAGCCTTAACCCTAACATGATATTATCATGAATATTAGGAAAGAAAATAGGAAGCATCGCAAGAAACACAATTGTCATGTTTGGTAATAGAGTTACCCTAAACGTGATACTAGGAAGATCAAAACGCCCTAACATGACGCTAGGAATCATAATAACAACCTAGACATGATTTCTAAATCATAATATCAATAAAAATCATTAAAGCACTTACTTGGATGCCTCGTATCTCTTTCTAATAACAAAATACACGCGTTAGTAACTTCAAAGATAATAATAAACAACAATTAAATTAAATAATTGAAATAGAGAATTGGGAGCAAACCCTCAGAAATTAAAACCTTTCACGTCTAGGCGAAGGCAACTTCGAATTTGGCTAGGTGTTTCTTGGTCTTATGAATGCGGAATTTTGTTTGTGAAAAAGGTTGGTTTAGAAAAGAGAGAGAGAATAAGCTTTAGCTTGGAGAGAGAAGAGAATTAGAGAGTATAAGAATTGATGAGAATTGGTGATGAAAAACAGAGATTTTAGGAGGCTATTTAATGAGAAAATCAACTAAAAAGATAGAAAAACAAATCAGAGTTTCGACGATGAAAAAAGAAGTTAGCGTCAGGCGCTGACCATTAGCGCCAGACGCCAGGCGCTAATGTCTGTCGTTAGGCGCTAATTAATTTTTTATGAGTTTTCTAAATTCAGATAAAATTTGGCAATACAGAAGGGCAAAATCGTATTTTCCTTAAAACACTCTTTTATTCTAATTAAAACTCCAAAAAGTCTACAAAAGTCAATTTATCAATGCTAATTGAATTAGGAATAAAAATAACCTTCTAGAAGAATCTAGAAGACTAAAACCAATCCTAAGTGCATTAGGAATGATAAATCCATATTAGGCCCTCCTCTAGATCATTGGGCCGCATATAAGGCTCAAACCGGGCCCAATTTAGTAATTTGGCCATAACTTCCTCATTATTGTTCGGAATTGGGCTTATAAAATATCGTTGGAAAGCTCTTTTCAGGCCTCATACAACGCCTCATACAACTACACTATTATTGGACCCTTGCTATGTACCAACAGAACTGGATTGGCTGTTTTCTTAAAATAGAATTTCAAAAACAAAGAGAGAAGAAAAGAAATTAAAACTATCCGCAACGCTAGACTTTCTACACTTTTACTTCATTCGATTATGATTCGACGTGAAAGGTACTCATCACTAGGTTTGGTTTTGGGGAGACACAAATGGGTGACTACAGAAGCCCCCACTTTGACTGAGTTTGAAGAAACACAAGTTTCGAAAACAAAAGTCAAAGTAGCGATAGGGACAAAGAATGATTCAGAACGTTCTGCGATCCTAAACCACTCTTGTAATGCCGATACCTGCAAACTAGCGTTAGTTAAATAGATAAAAGAGTTAAGAAACGCGTATCTTGCACCGTCGAGCACACGTCTCTAGAAGTAACCGATTTGCTGTTGCATTGTTGTATTTCTGTATTTTTTACGACCTCCTGCAAGCTAGAGAACGCCGCCAGAAGACTGCTACGCTTGTAACTGCCTCCAATTCCACCATGATACACTTTTGCAAGCTAGAGAACCCCATCGAAGATTTCTTCGCTTGAAACCACTTTCTAGCACTTTGTGACCATCTTCCGCAAGCCAGGGAACACGATCGAAGACAACTTCGCTTGAAATCACCTCCAGTTGTTTGTGAAAACTCTCCGCAAGCTAAGGAATGCTGCCGAAGATATCCTCGCTTGAAGCTATCCTCATTTGTTGCGATAATATTCCAAGGAAAATTACCGAAGACCCACGCTTGTCGATCTTTAAAAGCTCGCATGAACATTGCTTCCGCTATGCCTGTACGTCGGCGCTTTTGCTGCATTTGAACCTGTATGTCGGTGCCTTTTGCTGAATTTTGAACCAATATGTCGGTGCTTTTTTCTATATGAACCAGTATGTCGGTGCCTTGCGATGAGCTAATGCTTAGGCGCTTTAAGCTAAGTGAGACGATTATTCATCAGGTCGATCACTTTATTAAATTGTAATCAAACCGATTACTAAATCATGTCAAATTGATTAGTGGGGCTAACTGGCGTACCAAGGAACCCAAAATATTGTAAGAGGTTGGAACAACCTCACTAAGTGGCTGAACATTCTGTCGCCGCTTATTATGATGGACCTCCTTTGCCAAAGGAAGATAGACCAGTTCCTGATCTAGATTCCTCTATACCAAATGCTAATCCTGCTAGCCCTGCAGGGCTACAAATAGATACTAACTCTACTAATGTTTTTGTGAAGGGTAAATCGCAGGATAAGGGAGGAGATGTGCATAGCCCGGTTATCAAACTTCTGTTCCCTAATAGACAACTAAAGAGTAAGCTTGATAAATAATTCGGTAAGGTTTTAGAGGTTGTGAAAAACCTGCAGGTAACAGTTCCTTTTACTCATTTAATCACTCAAGTTCCTGCTTATGCTAAATTTATGAAAGACATTCTAACTAAGAAAAGGGCCTTTAATGAAGTAGAAACTGTAGCTTTCACAGAGGAGTGTAGCGCTTTATTGCAAAACAAATCCCCTCCTAAATTAAAGGATCCCGGTAGTTTTTCTATCCCTTGTCATATAGGGAATGTTTTTATTGATAAAGCTTTGTGTGATTTGGGTGCTAGTGTCAGTGTCATCGTCTGTATGTGTTAAACTTAATATGGGAGAATTAGAAGTTACTAATATAACTTTACAAATGGAAGATCGTTCAGTAAAATACCCCTTAGGTATTTTATAGGACGTCCCTGTTAGAGTTGGTAATTTTTTTATTCCTGTTGATTTTGTTGTGTTAGACATGGCAGAGGATACGCAAATACCCATTATATTAGGTAGGCCTTTTCTCCATACCGCAGGAGCAATTATTGATGTTAAAAATGGTAAACTAACCTTTTCTGTAGGTGACGACAATGTTACTTTTAATTTAGGGATGGTTTTTAAAGGACCTATGTTAGAGGAGAATTGTTGCTATATTGATGTAATTGATATAATGAATGATATTTGTGATGATAGCTTGCCACAGGTTCTTGCGAGGGATCCCGTAGAGGAAGTCCTCTACGGAAATTTATCTAGAGACAATGCAAGCGTTTGGGGTAATGAGGTACAAGATATTAAAAAGGCTCTTTCCTTAAAAGAGTTAAGCCCCAAGGAAACAATGAAGGTAGTAAATTTAGTTCAGGAATAAAAACCTGCAGAGGTCAAGAAACCTGAGCTAAAACCTCTTCCTTCTCATTTAAAATATATTTTTCTTGATGAACAGGAACTATACCCCGTGATTATCAGTACTGCACTTACTGACCTACAAACATCCCAACTTCTAGGGGTTCTCAAAACCCATAAGAAAGCTATTGGGTACAGTATTGATGACCTCAAGGGTATTAGCCCTGACTTTTGTATGCACAGGATACATCTAGAGGACAACTATAAGCCCTGCATTCAACCCCAACTAAGATTAAATCCCAACATGCAGGAAGTAGTCAAGAAGGAGGATATGAAATTACTTGATGCAGGTATTATCTATCCTATTTCTGACTCCAAATGGGTAAGTCCTGTGCAGGTAGTGCCAAAAAAGGGTGGGATGACTGTGATAACCATTGAAAAAAATGAATTAACTCCAACTAGAATTTTAATATGGTGGCTTATGTGCATTGATTATCGTAGATTAAATATCGCCACTAAGAAGGACCACTTCCCTCTTCCCTTTATAGATCAAATGCTTAGAGGTTAGCTAATCATAAATTCTTTTGCTATTTGGATGGGTATTCGGGATTTTTCCAAATTCCAATTCACCCTGAAGATCAGGAGAAGACTACTTTTACATGCCCTTATGGCACTTTTGCATATCGTAGAATGCCCTT